CCATACATGTGTCTATGCGTTAATACTTAAGTATGTGCATGTACAAAGGTTTCCTCCTCTAATTTCCATACTGGTTTTTCTATTTTCTCTAAGCAGGTCACAGTTGTTTATTACTGAGGTTTATTTTTTCATATGTCTCAGGCAGCAGAATATTGTTGGTGCTGTTTTTGCATTTCTCCTCAGCGTGCTTCATTAGCTCTTTATTATAAAGCAGAAAGCTATATGTAGAAACAGAAAAGTCCTGCAGCAGGGTTTAGGGAAGACTAAGCAGCATGTATACATATTTAAGGGGGTTTATTTTTCTACAATTTTTGTATCTTTTTGCGTTTGGTGATATTTCCTAAATTGTATTAATAGAAAAAAGAACTGTTGTAAGTTAAGTAATCAACTGGAGAAGTCTATTAATTATAGAGAGAGAGAGAGAGATGGCCTGATGGCTTATATAGTATTAAATAGCCTTCAGAATTCTAGTAAATGCATTTGGTAACTTAATTCTTTTAGGCAAACTTGGGTTCTATCTGAACTACAAATATTCACCTCATGTTTCCAAATAGCTCTGTTACGAGAGGCAGATAATGGAAGTGATACACAAATGCATCTTTTCCTGTCACTATGATACTTTGTGTTTGTATAGCAATGACTATTGTTCTACCTTTTGTGAAATAAAAACAATTGATTAAAAATATAAAATTTTTGGCCTGTGACTGAAAAGGTTAATGGATGATTCAAATTCATTACAACTTGGGTATTTTCATAGTTTTGTCCATTTATAATAATATTATCATATTCTCCAAGTTATTCACTATAACATCACTGAAAAGCCTGACAGGCCAAGACGTGTGCAGTCAGAAGATCAGACAGGTCATGCTGCTCATGTTTGTTGACCCATTTGGACTTTTTAGTGATGTGCAGATCTCGGCTATTGAAAACTATTGAGTTCAGTATTATAAATGATGTCCCTATATTTTCTTCAGTATTATAAATGATGAAACACTATGAAGACAAGACCCAGCTTGTAATATACTTGAATCGTCTCATGAAGGAACAAATGACAAGAAAGAAAGAAATTCCATTTTGAACATAAGTTCACATTGGGCTTCTGTCCAGTCCATGATTTACAGTCAAATACAACATTCTGAGGGGATAATGTCATTCGATTTTAATACCTCTTTGCCTATCCTCTACTGCCACCTTCAGGACAAACTTTACTTTCACCTCAAGGAAAGGCCCTAAGAATAGTATGTATTTTGCTGTAGCGTTCCTGGTGAGCCGCACTGGAGCCAGCAATACCAACAGACTTCATAACCTGATTAAAGGACTGACTCCATAATTTGCTGCAAACCAGACATATTTGAAGTTGTGGTGGAGAGAAGGACATTGAATAAACTGATCCATTATGGATAATCCTGACCATCCACACCACCACCTACTTGACAGACAGTGGAGCTCTTTTTCTAACAGACTGCTTCAGCTTCCCTATCATATGGACCGATAGAGGAAATCTTTCCTTTGAACTTCATAGTTTCTGTCTCATCCAAACTCCTTGAGCAACTTTGCTGATGGTCAATTTGCACATCTTCATATGCTCACAGATTTGGTGTTTTTTTTGTGGTTTTTACATCTTCCATTGTGTCTGTCCTTCTAGGTTCCCAGCTATTCATTGGCTATCAGAGCTCTGGATAGTGGAATCCCACCCATGTCATCCACTGTGATGGTCAACATAGATATCTCTGACATCAATGACAACCCCCCCACCTTCTCCCCGGCCAACCTCATTACTGTCATACAGGTAAACCTGATGATATTGACATGATATTCACTTAAACCAAAGATCAAATGTGAATTTTCTGCTACGTAAATAAATTTACTGCATACAAATGTGCATATCCTGTATATCCATTTCTGTATACTAGAGTAATGTACAGTATAGTTTTTTCCCCTACTGCTGATATCTGAATATGACAAAACTGACATTCTTGTATGGTACAGTAAGCAGTCAGTATCAACACAAAAACAGAACAAAACAGAGATTTGTATAATAAACATTTCCAGGGTTGACCAATGGAGGATCCATTGGCAGAAATGGAAAAAAGTATATTTACAGGTATGTTTTCATTAGTGTGTAATCAACTGAAAATAAGAATTGTTTTTTTTTGTTACCATAGAATTAGTCGTTTTTATCTACAGAGGGAGTGGGTCCACTTCTGTGGAGGCCGCCATGTTTCTGCAGTAGCCCAGAATGGACAAACTAAACACTGACTCTTAATAGGGCTGTTCTTTCAACACACGATCTTGCCCACCATCTCTTTCAAATGGCATGTCTCTTCTCCCAGGAAAACAAGCCGATTGGCACCAGCATCCTGCAGTTGTCAATCACAGATCTGGACTCTTCCCACAATGGCCCACCCTTTGACTTCCACCTCCTGTCAGGAAACGAAGGTGGAGAGTTTGTGCTAGATAAAGATGGAACACTTGTGGCCAATCAAGTATTCAGGAGGGACCTGGCAACTGAATATGTTATTCAGATACAGGTAAAGTCAAACTGCTTTTTAACATCACGCTTGCTTTTGTACAACATTTGTAGCAGCTCTGCGTGTGTTTTTGTGGCGTTTCATTTGGAGTCACATCAAATTGTGACATATTATCTGGCATCACCTCAGATTCAAAAGCGTTGTGAATCACTGAATGCCTCTAAAATATGAATAGAAAGATGTTTGAACAAGGTGTTCAAAATGATTTTGAGTAATGAGTTTCCAGTTACAAACATAGGCTTTTGCTGCTTGCAGGTCAGCCACCAGTACTGAAGAAGTAATAAAAGTAATAAAAAATATGGTGGGAGCTAGTTTCTTTCATAAATTAAAGTCCCAGTTATTTCTTTCCATAGCTTTTGGAAGAAAAAATAAGGATATAAGCAAAAGAATGTAAGCAAAGCGGAGAGCAAGCAGCAAAGTGTCTCCATTGTAAGAGAGCAGGTAGTAAAACCAAATTGAGATGTTACAAAGTAATTTCTCCTGTCCTCATCTCCTTTTATTTCCTTTTCTCTATTATCTTTTTTGCATATCTTCTCCTGTCTTTTCTTATGATCTCATTTTCTCTCCCTGTTATCCCTCTTCCTTTCAGGTAACAGACTCAGGAAAGCCTCGTCTGTCCTCCTCTTCTATGCTGACAGTCAGGGTAATTGAGGAGAGCCTCCACCGGCCAGTGGCATTTCCACTAGAAGTTCATATTGTCACTATGGAGGATGAATTTCCTGGTGGTGTGATTGGCCAGCTGCACGCCACCGACGCTGACCCTTATGATGCACTGACATTTGGCCATGCCCCCCCAGTCCAGCGCAGTCTCTTTAAGATCAGTCCTCGTGATGGGAAGATCATCGCCCTGGGTGGGTTAGATGCAGGCAGGTACTCCCTCAATGCCAGTGTTAGTGATGGCCGCTTCGCCGTGCCTGTGCCAGTGAGCGTGCACGTGGAGCAGGCAACACCAGAGATGCTACATGAGGCGGTGACAGTACGCTTTGAGAGTGTGGCACCACAAGATTTTGTGGGGTTGCACCTGAAGAGTGTGTTGAAGGTACTGCAGCAGGCCGCCACTTCACAGCAGCAAGACACGCTGCACCTGCTTAGTCTGCAGCCAGTTGGCGGGACACAACAGTTGGACATGCTCATTGCCGTGGAAAGAGCAGGGGACGGGTACTACAAGGCCGCCTATCTCACCCAGAAACTCAGTGCATCACGGCGGCAGCTGGAAGAGGTCCTCAGAGTGTCAGCTATCTTAGACAAGAACTGTTCGGGGCTGGAGTGCCGCGGGGCACAGTGCGAACAGAGTATCATCCTGGACTCTCACAACCTGGCTACATACAGCACGCCACGGGTCAGCTTTGTCTCACCACGTTTCCACCGGACCTCACGCTGCACATGCAACGGTCAGTGATATAATATTGTAAATGTGCATGAGCCTGCTGCAGTCTGAGAACGTTTTCATATAGTTGGTGTATATCAAAGTAAAACTGGAATTTCAGTGTTTTGTTCTAAAAATAAAAGAATAGCACCTTTGTAGTCTTCTGACCACTCAAAGTACTTTGATACTACATGCCACATTCACATAGTGATGGCCATCACCAACAAAAACTAATTCAGCATATACGTGTACAACATATCTGGCCTTAAAACATAGCCTTTCAATCTACATAATAATGGTATGTTTTTAAAAAACAATTCAGTATTGTTTATTATTTCTGTTATTGTATATTTTATTTTTTTACAGGACTTTAAGAACACAATTTCTCGTAAACTTTGACCTCCATGGGACCGAGAGGACTGAATAATGTAATATTTTTAGACAGCAGAGATTACAGCTAGAAAACTAAACGATTAACTTAAGAAGAGAACTTTGCTGAGTTTTATGGATTTTTTTTTTTCCACAGGAGCTGTGCACACAAAGCAATTTTGTTTACATTTAACATTTGTTTCAGTTTCTGATATTAAGGGCTGTATTTGTCTTAGAATATGTTAAATTAATCCCAGGAACCTGCATCCTAATCACGATGCATAGAAAAAGATGTGCTGTAACACGAAATACATTTTGTCCTTACAACACAGCTATGGTCCTGTCGTAGAACGGGTCATCTAATAATTGCAGGGTCGCTTATTCGATTCCCATCTTCCACATTGTCCTTAGGTAAGATACTGAACCCCAAATTACTCCTAATGGCTGTGACTTTGGTTTGGTTTTGGTTCGTGAGCTTAGTATTATGCACTTTTCATGGCAGCCTGTCCTATGTGTGGTGGCAACACACTTGACCATGTTTACATTCCATTCTGGGACAGATATGAGGCCCTCCATTAACCACCCTTTGGTAAATCAAATCACATCTCAGTTTTGCTTCTGCCTATGGCCTGCTATAGGCAGAAACTCAAACAAGACAGGCTGACGACACGGACAATTCAGCAGTATTCTGACCAATCAGACTCAAGTACAGACTGGTGGCCAATCAGACTCAAGTACAGACTGGTGGCCGTAACAGACTGGTGGCCGTAACAGCACTACGTCACTGCTACAGCAGGAATGCATATGTTTCAAAATGTACACATACAAAAAAAACGTGAACTTATGTACTTACTTACCAGTGCTTACATTGTTTTGTCCCTTTCCATGCACTTGGTGCAGAGACTTTAAAGCAATTTACACAACTATGGTACCTATAATGGTAGTATAAGTATATTTTCTTCCTTTGTGTTTGTACAGATGCCAGCTGTGCTCTCCTGTCAGAGCAGTGTGAGGACCAACCATGTCCAGCAGACATGCAGTGTGTTTCAATTGAGGCCAATAGAGGGCGCTATGCATGCCAGTGTCCACCAGGCAAACTAGGAGAGTGTGCAGGTGTGTGTGGAAGAAGTTTGATGTATAAAGCAATACATACAACAACAACTTTTAAATAAAAAAAATGCATTTTAAGTGTATTTACAGCTTCACAAACACATACTGCATTACTCTGGAACTTGATTTATTAATCCATGTGCCTGTGTGTGTGCGTGTTGGCGGGAGTGCAGGTCATTCGTCTCTGAGTTTTTCGGGTAACAGCTACATCAAGTACAGACTGTCTGACCGGCTGCAGACGGAGCTGAAACTCAGCCTGAGGATCAGAACACTGCAGAGCCGAGGAATCATCATGTACACACACACTGAACCCTGCACTGTGCTCAAGGTACACAGACATACACACATAGGTGCCTCGTTTCTCTCTGTGTATCCTCCAAAGAACAAATTGAAGGAAATTAAGGAAAAATTTATAATTAATAATAATTAATAGATTCATTTGATATCCACTATATATAACATATTTTTATTGTTTATTTGTGGATCTATTTTACTGATATTTCAGGTTCTCAGTACAACTTGACAACTCTATTGCTGATATCATGGGAGCATTAGCACTTAAAATGTGGGCATGAGCCAGTTAAGAAACTCTTAAATAGTATAACTATAATTTGAAGCATGAAAACTTACAATATTACTTGAAAAGAATTGTTCAAAACATTGACATAAAGCAACTGGTTCTCATCTTAGGTCGTCAAATGACCACGCTCTCTCAGTGTCTGACTCCCATAAAGCCTTTCTGCCAGAAAAGTACTACAACCATGCTGTGAAACTATCACAGTTTGGTTAGGTTTAGGATAAGATGGTTTGGTTTAAAATAACTATGTTAAGTTCATGGATGAAGGTCACGTGATGAAAATTACAGACTGTGATGCAGTGATGTCACATGATGGACATAACATAATTTATTTAACAAAAAATGATATATAAATGATATCATTTACTTTTGCTTTCACGTGGAACACAAATTGGAGTCTTCTGGTTGAAAGTCCTTATGATACGTAAAGAGTTATCTCAGGACACTTTTCAAATAAAGCAGGTCTAGACTTCTCTCCTTATCAAATTATTTACAGAGACCCAATAATTTCCAACACAAGTGTGTCTAAATTCCCACCATGAATGCGACCCAGTCTCCTGGGGTTCATGCCCTGTATTTGTTTGGGCCATCTATCCACTCTACCACGTCATGGTGCAGACTTCCTTGTTTTTTTATACTGCGTTACCTGACACAGATGGGTTTACATTGAAACACGGTTTTGTCATGCACCTCTCAATGTCATACAGACGCTGAAGGGTATATAAAAATAGACTGGATAAAGATACATTTCTTTTGTATATGGTGAATGGCATATTGTTCAGTTTCCCTATTATGATCAACTTTTTTTTTTTGGTGTCACATAAATCAAACTCTTTTTGAGTGTACACTAGGGCAGTTAAAATTTAGTAAAATTTTAGAAACATTTAGAGCAGAGCTCTCCAACCTCATGAGGGCTACATAAAGGGAGAGCTATTCTGTATATTTGACATCTAACCTATCTGTGTTGAATTGATTTTCATTTTCAATAGAATAGGATCGTGGTGTGTATTTTCACCCTTAGATATACTTGCAGCATTAAAGCTTTGTGTGTGTGTGTGTGTCTGTGTGTGTGTGTGTGTGTGGTGTGTGTGTGTGTGTGAGAGAGCAGCTGGAGGAGGGGAAGCTGTGGTTCCAGCTGGCCTGTAGCCTTGGCGATGGTGTTGGTGAAGGTGGTGACAGTCCGGACATGTTGGGCATCTCTGGCCGACGTATCAATGATGGCAGCTGGCACACTGTGGCATTGGAGCTGAACCGCAACTTCAGCAGTCTAGCGCTGGATGACAGCTACATTGAGCGGCGCCATGGACCTCCATTTATACGACCACTTGCTCCGGACAGAACCATCTACTTTGGAGCACTGGTCAGTTCCTGAGTAGTTGTAGGGGTTCAGATGGTACTGCAGTGGCAGTCATGTTAGGGCTCCTCTGCTTTTAGACATCCCGAGATGGTTGCTTATATTTGCTTAATTCAACACTCCCTCTAATTGGTACTTATTATCTGGTAAAATGATAGTTGTACTAGTCAAATGCTGAATGTAGTTTTTCTATTCCATGCCCATTGTATTGATATGGGATCGAATTCTGTGAATTGCTGTGCTGCTCACACTATATGATGTTTTTTCCACAGTTTGTATGTTCCTGTTGGGGCACTACAATGTATGTAACATGGAGTGATTGAGACAATAGTCTCTTGGTACAAATATGTAAAAGAAGAACTGTATCCCCTATAGTGTTTTCCCCCTCACTTTTCAAAGTCCAATGTCTGTCCCCTCACTCCAAATATTGTTCTCTTATTGTCCAGCCACCATAGTGAGGATCTGAGATCATAAAAAAGTTGATACACTTACCTGAGCGCTCAAAGAAAAAGCTCTTTTGTTACTGGGGTTCTATGCAGCATTAAAAGAGTATCTCCACTTCCTCTGCATGTTTTTCAGATTAAAAAAAATATATAAAAAAAGATAATTTAATCTGTGTTTCTACAGTTTATATTCTCTGAAAAGATGCCAGAGCTCCTTGTAGATGTTAATACAGTAAGGTTAGTGCATTGACAATACAGCAGAGGTAAATGTAGCTCTTTGCTCTGTGTGTGAACTGAAAAAAGAAGTGGATCAGACTGAGCCATACAACACTAACTTGTTATTCCAGACAGGTTTTGTGTGTCAGGTAACGTCAAACGATATGCTGCTATGTGTGTGATACTGGTTCCTCTGTTCTTGTTCAGGTGCAGAACCCTCACTCTCGCAGCCTTGTGGACTCCCAGAAAGACCCGCAGGTGCTTGAGGGTTTCCAGGGCTGCTTGGACTCAGTCATGCTGAACAACAACGAGCTGCCACTACAGAACAAACGCTCGCGCTATGCAGAGGTGGTAGGACTGACAGAGATGAAACTGGGCTGCATCCTCTATCCTGATGCCTGCCTGCAGCAGCCCTGCCGTAATGGAGCGACTTGCACCAGCCTGCCCTCTGGTGGTGAGTAATAGGAAATACAAACGCACAGCGACTTCACACTGAAGGTCCTGAAAACTAACAAAATTAGGAAAACTAACAAGCTAACAAATGTGTCTAATGTATTGGGGGAAAAAAGTGAGAAAACAAAAAAGGGAAGACAAGGAAAACACTCAATATTAATTACATTAATTTAAAATGTTAATATAAAGTTCCAGTGTTTAGGATTTAGTGGCATCTAGCGGTGTAGTTGCAGCTTGCAACTCCATTACATAACATGACATAATGTTGCTTTAAAGTTTAGCTGTTCTAACAACAGCTCAGATTAATTTGAAGCCACTTTGAAGATCTAAAAAATTCAGATTCATCTATCACCAACAATCAAACCCAGCTAACTCAGGCCTCAACTCTGTGGAAGGCCAGATCCCAGAGAGTAGAAGGAGGTTATTAAGGCAGAGCAGTGATCAGCTGATGGATTAAAATCTAGTAGTAGTGTTAATTTATCAGCAGTGTTTTTTTTAGCAGAGGTATGTGTTTCCTATAAGACTAGAGGTCCCAGCAGGCCTCACTAAACGCTGCTGTAAGACTTACCACATGCCACATGTTCCTCATTTACACTGTAATGAGCAATTCAGCCTGGGAATTTGCAGGACATTGTTGTTATTTACACAGTGCTGTGCAAAGGTTAGCGTGTGTCTCTGCTGTATTGCATACAAAGAATAAAAAATGCAAATTTCCCAGCACTTTCTTTAAAGTGTGTTTGTCATTTAAAGTTGTGTGTTTTTCATGTTTTCTTATGTGTCTTGTGACTGTGTATGTGTGTGTGTATCTCTTCATTATGCTGTATGGGTGTACTTATGTGATTTCCCAAAGGTGTGTCTGTTTTGGACAGGCAGCGCTGTAATGAATTTGTAATAACATTTGTAACCCCCCCCCCCCTTTCTGTCTGCCAGGGTTCTCATGCAGCTGTAACCCCCAGTACACCGGAGGACGCTGTGAGATGGAGATTACAGCCTGTGTTCCCAACCCGTGTCAGAACAGTGGTGCGTGCAAGCCAATCGGCAATGCCTTCCTCTGCAGTTGCAGGAGAGGCTTCAAGGGTCTGACGTGAGTTTCTGAAAGTCCTTAAAGGTTGATTCACCCAGATTGTGGAAAAATATATTTTATCATACACCTCTAGCAGTATTTTTCCACAAAGTGGACGAACCACTCTACCTCCTGAGCCACAGCCACAGCTGTATGTCTAGATAGTAACAAATACTCAGTCCTAGTATATATTATAGTATAGTACATAATATAGTTTTGAACCTTAGGGTAAATTGTATATTTTACTCCAAATATTTGTTATACATATTGTTGTCTGGAATTCATAAAAGGTTACATTCTCCACCAATTAATTTTGGAATGTCTGAAAACCTTGTTAATAAAACACTAAATTCTGTCGAACATGTAGCTTGCCAAATATTAGGATTATAGATATATTTTCTTATTATAAATGTTAACTCAGCACAGCTAAAACTGAGCAGTCTAAAGTTATTCATACGCTACCATCTAATACCAGTCTCTTGCCCTCTTTCTGCCATCCCTCCATCTTGCAGCTGTGAAGAAGATGTGAATGAATGCGACCGCAACAATCCAGAGGGTGAGTGTGAAAACGGTGGCGTCTGCGTCAACACTCACGGTTCCTTCTACTGTAACTGCACAGCGGGCTTCGTGGGCCAGCGCTGTAGCCTGCGGCCTGTTGTCGTCCCCGACATGCAGGCAGGTCACGCTGTCGTGGGTAAAGAGGAACTGATCGGCATTGCTGTGGTGCTTTTTGTTATCATCACCCTCATCATCCTCTTTATTGCTTTTCGCAAGAAGGTTTTTCAGAAGAATTACTCACGGAACAACCTGTCTCTGGTCCAGGACCCAGCCACTGCAGCACTCCTTAACAAGGCCAACGGTGTTCAGTTTAAGACCTTACACTGCACACCAGGAGACCCTCTCAACCTGTATGCAGAGTCAGGGCTGGGGCCCACCATGGTGGGGGTTGGTGGGATGATGGGACCTCCACAAGTCCCTGTGAGGCCCATGGCATACACACCCTGTTTCCAAGGAGACCCGCGGTCCACACTGGAGAAGGTGGTGGATGGGCGCGGTGTAGAGCATACAGAGATGAGCACCTTTCACCCCGAGTCACCAAGGATCCTGTCAGGAACAACCAGGAGGGGAGTGGTGGTGTGCAGTGTGGCCCCCAACCTGCCGCCAGTGTCGCCCTGTCGCTCAGACTGCGACTCCATACGCAAGAGCCCATGGGACAGTGATGAGGGTGTGTGTGTGTCTGTGTTTTTTTACTGCTGTACCTGCTACAACTTACAGTACAAATAGGCTAGGGTTATTACAGTATTAGTAAGTGGAGAATGTGTTTCTGTGAGCACACAGAGGTTTAGTATATGCATTTTTTTCCTAATATGAAATTGAAAACACTTTATATTCTACAATCCAAACAACAATTATCCCAGAAGATGTGACAATACTGTTTTTCACATCATACATGGTAATAGTTTCAACTCCTCAAATTAGAAAAGCAGTTTTTCTGCATTTGTGTTTGTTCTGGAATATGGCCTTCCTGACTCCCTGACCTCTCCCTGCAGGTAAGATGGTTGACATGGCAGAAGAAGTAACTTGTTTCTCAGGGAGCAACAAAGGCAGTAACTCAGAGGTCCAATCACTGAGCTCCTTCCAGTCTGACTCCTGTGATGACAATGGTAAGACACACATCCCCCCCCAAGCAAGAGTGGTTAGGGGACTCAGATCCGAACTCAAATCCCTAGTGTTTCAGTTCTTTTAAATACAGTTATTTTAAAATGCTGTGTTTGCTTGTTTGTTAATTGTATTAGTTGGTTACACTGGAGGTCTCTTTCTTGTGTTTTAAAAATGTTCTTATCAATACCCCTGCAAAACTTGTACTCTCTTTCCAACACATTCTCATCCCAGGTCGTCCAAACCAGCATTGCTTTGTCACGCCCCTCAGAGTCTCAAACAAATACCCTTTTACATCTGTATGACACGCCCTATTAAAATGTGGTTAACGTTGTGAAAGGGTTGCAATTTAGTTAGGTTTAAGCAACAACACAACTTTAGGTTTAGGAAAACCTCATGCTTTGGGCTCAGCTAAGTGTCATGTGGTAATTCACGTATGTGACAGTATGGAACTTAACTAAAATAAGCCAGTGTTTTTTTTTCTCATGGGACATGAACCCCCGGCTTCCTAGGTGAACGTTTTGTGTTTTCTCCTTCCTCCTTTGTCCTGCCTTTTGTTTCCACTGTGTTTTACAAACCAGAACATTTTAGATATACAATGCATAACTGAAAATACAACGCCATATGGTGATACCAGGACCAAGGTCATAATTGCTTAGTAGGTGAGTGTAGTGCAGATGCAGTACTGACAGCAATGGGAAAATAGGCATTGATATTGATTTTCTTTTACATGTACATGTGATGATGTTTAAATGTCAGTATTGTTAAGTTAAAAGAAAAGCCCTGTGCACAGTAGGAAGAAGACAGAATATTGTTTACCATGTTGCAAGCCAGCTGCAGCATTTCTTTACCCAAGAGTACCTGAAACTCTGTAATACCATCTTCTGAGCAAGGCAACATTTTTTATAATTAATTAAATTTATCAAGTAAACTGTCTAGAAATTATTTGAAATATACACCGATCAGCCATAACATTATCATCACCTGGGCACCCTGACTGGTCTGTGGATATGCAGCCCCAAACTGCAATGCACTGTGTGTTCTGACACCTTTCTATCAGAACCAGCAATAACGTTTTTAGCAATTTGAGCTACAGTAGCTCTTCTGTTAGATCAGACCACACGGGCTAGCCCACTCCCCACCTTCACCCTACACAAGGTAAATGGTAAATGTACTTGTATAGCGCCTTTGTTTTCTTCCGACCACTCAAAGCGCTTTTTACACTACATGCCACGTTCACCTTTTCACACCCATTCACACAGTGATGACAAAGTCCCTCTAACAGAAATCAACTCATTCATTCGCATTCACATACTGATGATGCAGCATCGGGAGCAATTTGGGGTTCAGTATCTTGCTGCCAACATGCAGCAGGAGGAGCCGGGGATTGAACCGACAACCTTCCAATTAGTGGACAACCCGCTCTTCTTCTGAGCCTCTGAGCCACAGCCCCACATGCATGAATGAGCCTTGGTTGCCCTGGCTCTGTTCACCACTTCACCACTTTCCCTTCCTTGGACCACTTTTGATAGGTACCGGTACTGCAGACTGGGAACACCCCACAAAAGCTGAAGTTTTGGAGATGCTCTGACCCAGTCTTCTAGCCATCACAATTTGGCCCTTGTCAGAGTTGCTTAAATCCTTACGTTTGCCCATTTTTCTTGCTTCTATCACATCAACTTTGAGGACAAAATGTCTGACAGGTGATAATCAGTGTTATTCACTGTCAGTGGTCATAATGTTATGGCTGAATGTTATGGATGATATACATATATACATATATATACTGTATACGCGTATACAATACATATGCATATTTTTAGTGTCAATTCTGTCCAACCTTTACGTTTTGTGAAAAAAAGTGAAGCCTCTAGATGTTTCAGTCGTTTGCATGTATTATCAATTTGCTATTATTGCTGCGAAATAATGCAGGAATACATTCCCAGGGTTTCAAAAACTCACAACTAAACATTATAATGATTTCACAACAGCATCATTGTAAGCAACCTCGAAGAGGCTAAGGGTTTTTACTGCTTCACTGCATGGTGTTGGTCGTGGACTTTGTGCTGGAGCTGTATATTTGTTTTTTTGTTTCATCTTTTCACATTGCTACGCTATTCCCTTTAGATTTTGTTTGCAAAACATGGCATTCATTGTCTTACTTTTCAGAATGATCATAATTTAAAGTTTTTAGCTTCTCTACCCTTAATCATCAATTGATTAAATATATAAATTTTTCCTCAGCCATATTAAAACTCTTGCCATTGTCATTCCTGTGCTTGCTGGTTGCTAGTCTGACTGGTGTCACCAGATAAGAAAATGTCTGCACTAAAATGACAAATAGTAGAAATGAACTGGTGTTGTTTATTTAGTGTTTATTTTTTATTTTTTTTGATGCTCTAATATTGTTTCTTTGCACATGGGAAGTTCATTTTCTTTGTTTGGCAGTGTTTTCTTTGCATTTTTTGACCTAAATACTATCTCCATATATCTAAAAATACTGAATGAAAATTGCCCCCATGCATTAAAATCAACAAGGGTCTTGACTGTGCCAGAGGCAGTCCTCTCTGTAGGACTGACAGCTACTGACTGACTGGTAGCCATAAGAAATGCCACAGGTGTGAGCCATGATCCCTGACTAACACCATGATGAGCATTTTTCACTTTGAATGACTCAATGACTTTATTTCAAAACTTATCTCCTCCTTTTTTCCCCCCACAAGCCTCCATAGTGACCGTCATTCGACTGGTCAATGATGCAGTCGACACAATCGAAAGTGAAGGTACCATGTCTCATCCCCTTGTCTCTTCTCTCACTCTTCCTCTCTTCTCTCATCTCATTCTTGTCATTGTAGTATCTCTTGACCTCTGAACGAGGTGTCTTCAGTTATATAGGCAACCGAAGCTAAATACACTTGCACTGTATGTTACAGTCTGTATATTTCAGTAAATCAAACGTCCTGGGCACTGTTAGATTAGCTTCCAACATGTCAAGATTTATGTTTACAGATTATTTTCTCATGCTGTTTCACAGTCAGTGTGTATTCAGTCCAAACCCCTTACAGGTTAGATTTTGTTCCAGCAGCTCTCAATTCTCAGTATATTGTCAATAAAGCAGTGGTGGCTAACCATGTCCCACTAATAGGCAAACCAGGGCTGTCCTGAGCCAATAATCGACTGGTCATTGAATGTTTATGATATTAATTTAATTCTTTAAATATTTGAATTTTAACAGCTGCCTGTTAAATGCTAACAGGAAAAACAGTAATGAATCTGAATATGTTGGAGTAACCAACAAGGGTTGAACACTCAGTTAATTTATTTCAACACTATAACATCACACAAGTCTCTCACACTTTGTTCAAAACACTGAATAAATAACTTCCACCTTTACAAAAACAAATAGACTCTTATCAATACAACGGATGATGTACAACATTAGTTACAAATCAACTCGCTATGAACTTGCTCCTCCAACAAGTTTGACATTGTTTTTCTTAAAAAATTTAAATTGTGTCGACTCATCAACTTTAGTCAACTACTAGGGGACAGCCCTGTGGCCAACAATCTGTGGGTTTTAATTCCAACTGATCACTTCAGTGGGTGATCATACATATGAGTTACTCAACTCCCTCAAGAATTGTCAGTCAGTGATGCTTCATTGGTTGGAGTGAAAACCTGCAAACTGTTGGCTCTTAATGGAACATGATTGGTCACCCATGATGTTTTTTTTCCATTGTTCTTTGTGAAAATCATTAAAACATGAAAGTGGGGTTTTCTGTCAATATTCTGTCCACATTCTTTGGTAAATCAGCATCTACCACTATACAGAAAAGTAAACACCTCATCATTTTAACCAAATTAAGGAGAGCTAGTCCTAATACCAGAAACAACATAGGTTACTTGTCAGTGTGGGATACAAACCAAGGACACCTGTGTCAAAGTCAGACACTGTATAGCCTATCATGCCCGTCCCCTTCCCTAATCGGATAGCTAAATGGAATGCATAGCAAATGTCAGACACAGCACAAATGCATACAGGGACTCTCTCCAAACAAACGTGACTGATCGGCTGTCATATTTCTTGCAAGGACAGTGTCTTCAACAACTACAGCCTTCATGAGCTTGTAATATTATAGTTGTAACCGTTTGTGTCAAGACAACAATGGTTTTATCATGGCTAAAATGATGAGGTGCATGGTCACCATTTTACGTCTGAGTTCCAACTGAAACCTATAAGGTCATTCAACAGGACAGTCAATTTATGTTGGTATAATTACAAAAACACTCCAGCACCTCCACCCTAAATCTTCTTCTATCCTGTAAGACTACATTCAGAACAGTAAATCAACTCTCATGATCCAATGCTAAAGGCCTCTGTGTTATGTTGTTCTTCCATCTGACAGTGTCAGTTATGGACCACGGTCAAACCTACAACAGAGGTGACTACCAACTTTACCCTCTATTGATCTATCTTATCTATCTTATCTATTTTATCTATCTCATCTATCTCTCTATCTGTCTATCTGCAGCGAGTAGACAAAACATCATGCAATGAAAATAACTGTAACTAAAAATAATCAAAGTAACTAAATCTACATTGTAAATACTTCTAAAAAGTTGGGTCATAATAGGCTGCATGTCTATTAACATTTTCAACTACTATGTAATGTAAATGTCTGTCTGTGTTGGTGTTCAACAGATTTTATTCAATACATTTTAAGACTGATGTTCTAGATATATTAAATGAGGTACCAGCTTTGATCAGAGTTTAATGATGAAGCTGGTATGATCATGCTGGTAGATCAGTATATCCAATTATTTGGTCCAGAACAGGATATCTTGACCAAATTTCCATTGAATTTGGCATTGACCAACTGATCTTTGTTCTAGTGCCAGCATCACATTTTTGTCTCAGGATATCGTGCAAACTACTATGCCATTACAAAAGTATTAATTCCATGTAATTTGTTGTGGATAATTATGTACCCCAAAGGACAAATGTGTGTGTTAGCAGCAACAACTGGACAAAATGCCCTGTGTCGATTGGCTTTTTGGCTTTGGGGCTAGTTTGACCATTACTCTTACAGTGTGTGCTCAGATGATTGAGCCTCATTTTGCTTTTCAGCCTTACTTTGAAACATTGACTATATTCAAGTACTTTAGGAGCTTATTTCCAGACATGTTTTATGGCAGACAAATGTTACTTATTAGCATTCAACCTAAGATGACCCACCTTTGGCGCAAATTCATTAAAGTGAAATTTAATTAAGTTAAGATCACCCCCGAGTCCTTCAATCATCACTTGCCCAAACCTGGAATATATACTATACATTTGACTCATTGGATAGTGTCTGTTGTTGTTTCTGGTAGCAGCAATGCAACCAGAACACAAGGCAGTTAGTTCCAAAGGGCAGTGAGATTTTGTAGCTAAATCAATTCACCGTGATCTGCAGACCCACTCATGGGTGAAATAAATAATGAGCTAAACACTCGCACTAAGACAAAATTTGGTGAACTTAGCTCAGCATGTGTATTAGTTCACCAATGAGCCCTGGGAGTTGTCAGTAAGTCTCCAAACCTCCACCACTATTTTTGCGAACCAATTGCTGGTGTACCAGGCCTTTATATTAAAGGTACCCTGTGGAGGTTTTGACCTTTCATAGTACTATGAAGCCAAGTGAGTACCTGTTTTCGTTTTGTGCATGTACTTGGATGTACATGAAAATACACATAGATGATGCTATACACATTCTTGCTAATTGTGTAATGTGTTAAGAAATATAGTAATGCATCAGCAAAAGGCAAAGACAAAGGAGCTTGTAGTTGTTTTATGATAAGGAAAATCATTCAACAAATTTGTTGGACCTCAAGGATGCACACAGTGCATTTTTGTGATTAACACTGAATGTAAATATAACTTTTGTTTATTTGAAAGAAAACTCCACAGGGCACCTTCAGGGCATGAAAGCCAAGAGCTAATTAATATCAAATAAGCTGCTACTACAGTATGCTACTCCAGGCTCCTGAACCTAAAGCCAAAAACCAACATCTACCTTGCCCCACCATCATAGGGATTCATTTAATATCCGACAGCCATTGACCTCAGATAGACTCTGCATGAAAATCAAATCTTAAATCAATCCTTTTCATTTCTAAGCTATCCTGACTGAAATTATTTTGTCTACCCTCTGTATCTTTCTACCTCTGTGTATACCCATTTTTTTCATACTTTCAGACTTCATTGGTAAATTCCTCTGCTCTTCCCCTTCCCTAGTCAGCGCTTTGTGTGCGTATGTGTGTGATTTGATATGATTCACACCCCTCCAGCTCACTGTGCTGTGCTGACTTAGCAACCCAGGCCCTTCCGAACAATTTGTGCCTGCCACTGTCACCTTTCTGCATCTCACTTTGTTTAGATTTTTATCTCTAGCACAATGATGGTACTGTGCCAATTGTTGCGTGATGCATGGATGTCTTTTGTTGTTGTTATTTGGTCATTGCTTTTGAACTTCACTCACCATTTGTTATTTAATTTGCCTCCACTATAAATTAATGTTTTTGGTTTTTGGTAGATTTTCCTTCTGGTCAGCCAAACTTTTGTAATGAGAATCATCATTCATGCTACTAAATGTCAGCAGATTGTTTGTCCCATTGCTCAATATTAACACCTTAGCACAACCTGAGTCCCATGTCAGATACCCACTTCTTCAAAGTTTACATTTCAGAAAAGCATATAGGCAGCACGATGGCTCGGTGGTTAGCACTGTCACCTCACAGCAAGAAGGTCCTGGGATTGAATCCTAGCTGTGGCCTTTCTGCTGTGTTGTGCTTGTTTTGTCTTCATCAACTTGCAAAGTCAAAAAATCATATGACACTTCACATTTACAATTTTTTGCATTTTGGTGGTCATCTATCACCAGTAAATGCTTAACATAAACTGAACCAGTTGATCCTTTCTAAGTTAGCTTCAGTTTTGTTGTTTAGTTTAAATTGTGAAGCAACTGTCGGTCAGAACCTCGGTCAACTTTCTCTTTTATTATTTACTTTTATTAGATTATATGCTATTTGCTAGGCTCGTCTATGTTAAAAAAACAAAAACACATTTGAAGATGGTTAAAAGATAAAAGCGATATATACATAGGTGTATGTGTATGTATATATGTATGTATATGTATGTATGTGTATATATATTTATATGTATATATGTATATGTATATATACAAATATATGTGTATATGTACGTGTATTACTAGTAGTAGTACTTCTGTTTTTGCTTCTGAAAGTGAACAGTCCACAATAGGTCACTTCTCAGGAAAATGTAAACAAAACATTAGAAATGGACCTTCGAGTAAATCTGTCAGTGAGGATGGTCTTGCTGTGGTTGCTGAAATGGGACACAGATACTAAACTGATTAATTATATTCTTAATCATTGTATTCATATTGCATATAAGTATCTTTGTGAAGTTTAAGTGGAGTATTAGAGTATTAGAGTGGAGTGTATCAGAGCCAACAACCCACCGAAAACACGTTTTTTATCACTTTGCTACACTGACCAATTGGAAAATCTACCAGATATTTAATGTATAACTCTTTTTTGATCACGTCAACATGGCTGTAGTATTGCAAATCTTCATGACGCTCAGCATGCTGTGACTCCACTGACCCTGACCCTCAAAGGCTCCTATGTGCATGTCAAATACCCTCAAAGACCTAACATGTTTTCTGTGCCAGTTGTGCCTTGTCATGTACCTGACCTTCAAGACCTTTGTGTAGGGTTGATCTTACTCACTCTAACATGCCTGGTGCATACTGAAGGCATGTCTGCTGCACAGCTCCACACCTGGAGACTAGTTTGTTGACTCAGCCATATGGGGGGCTGTTTTTTTTCATAGTCTAAATTGTTATTAACAATCCTCCCTTCTACTGTCTAGCATATCACTGGGACACATCAGACTGGATGCCGAGCACCAGACTCTCAGACATTGAAGAGGTGCCGAACTACGAAGCAGGTCCTGGTAGTGATGTTGCAGGCTCAGCTCCCCGCCTTGGAGGAAGCACCCGTGAACTGGAGTCAGACTACTACCTGGGAGGTTATGACATTGACAGCGACTACCCCCCTCCCCACGTAGAAGAGTTATTGAGCCAAGACCAGCTGCCACCTCCGCTGCCCTTAGGTGAGGACTATCCTGAACCCTATACGCCAATGTCTGCCAACCTGCCTGTCTCAACGGAGAGCACCCTGAGCTCTAGCAGCACTGGGCATCAGCATGCCAGGCCACACTTCCACCCCAGCCAATACCTGCCTCCACACCAGTTGCCCCTTGGGGAAGGGCCCCACGGGGACTTCAACACTTCAGTTGGTGTGGTAACCGCAGGAAGTGGGGACACTGATGACTCTTTGTCGCTAAATATGCGACTGTCTGTTGGTGCATCATCAGCCTCAGACGTGTCAGCTCCATGCGGGCTGGATGACTCTGAACATGGCAGCGACTTTGACAGTATGGATGAGCTTCGTCGAGGGGTGACCATCATCACTGACTCACAGCAACAGACTGAGGTGTGAATGATTGACTAGTACAGGGATTCTGTCGGGTCTATAATGGGACAGAAGGAGCATAGCATTGGTGCAGATGACAGTAAAAGCAGATGTTATCACAGGGGAAGAAATGCTTTGTCAGCAATGCTAGGTACTGCTACAACCACAGACATTGTCAGTAACAATGACATTAAAACTGCAAATTTAAAACCGCATTTCACTTGTTCTACATACTATTCTCCCATGCAACTCGGTCCAGAAATGGAAATGTTTTAACATTAAATCAAACTGTGTTGTCAGTCCTGTCCCTGCTGTGCTGAGCAATCAGAAGTGTCCTTCCTGTTCCAATAGGGATTTGTAACGTGAAAAGAAAAAGGTAGAGAATGTAAATGAGGAAGACTAATTCAAATGAGACTAAAACAGATGTGGTAGAGAAAATCAGACAAAAGAGAAGGGACAATCATGTAAGTGAAAGCATTGTTTTGTTCCCTGCTCCTTTACAGAAGCCCATCAGACAACTTCTTTCTAAGAAAAAAAAAGATACAAATCCCCACGTTTCTTTTTTCCTCCTTGATTTGTAAACTTTGTAGTGCTCTGAGCTTGTACAGACTTTGTAAAATAGTACGACCTTACTGGTGAATAAGTATGAAACAGTGTTGTGGCCACATTTCAAAAAGCCATTGTTTTAATGTGGAATGTGCTTGTTCCTTTCCCAAAAAATCAATCCTCCACATCAAGCCATGACATTTCAACCATCCTTCAACCAGCCAAGAGATGCTGTAGGTTTTAATGCATTTAAGGTGTTATCTCAACTTCACAAGCAATTGTCTTATCAAACCACAGTATTTACATTGTTGTCTTTTAAGACTACTATGGGATAAATATTTAATTCTAATATTACCTCAAAATAGTTTTAAGGTGATCAGGACTCAAGTCAGGATAACAGTCTATCAACTATCATTGCGTATCCAACTCTATTATTTCAGACTGGAGAGGGAGGTTTGATATCAACATTAACTTTTTGTTTTATCTCATTAATAAATGTTATTAGCCGATGATAACAGTGGTGGTGGAAGACTTCAGTTACATTTTTAGGTACTTCTACTTTTGTATTTTCTTGTATGCAACTTTTACTTCACCACACTTGACTGGAGGGAAAGTACTCCCAGTACTTTTTTATAGTAACAATATGAACTATAATAGTAGAAACATGACTAAAAATAATAATGACGATGACAGCAATAATAATAATAATAATAATAATAATAATAAAAGCAGTGAGCTAGTCAAGTAGGAGGCACAATCTGATTGAGGCACAACCACAATACATGGGAACATGTGAGACAACAAAGCACAAACAACCACAACATAGTTTGTTGAATTGCAAAGATGACATAATTAAGACATGATCATGACAAAATAGTTTATCTTCAGAGATAGTAGAAGACGTAGTAATGTTACAAGACAAATCCTAAAAGTGCATATTAGTAACCACAGCCACTCTTCACATTGGACATTTTATGTTATTGAATTGCACTACTGATTAGGTATTCGCTATGTTCTAAAATCCTACAAGCCTTGGTGGTGGTATGTCATTCTAATTATTCAATCAAGAGGAAAATAGATTTTTTAATTTGTTTTACCCCATTTGTTTGACCTGTTTAATGTAACACCACTATTCTCAAAAAATAATGCGGAGCAGCAACCTTTTCAATATAATAGCATTCCAGTGTTTTCTGTTACTTTGTAGCATTTTCACCATAACTGCAGACAGAAGTCAAACCCTTATCCAGGTCACTAATGGCGTTTCCATCTGGCCTCCAGACTGCTTCAAATCGTCACTGTCTGGTACTATAATATGCCTGATCTATTCGGGCATGCAGCTCTTTTTTTCTTTGTAAAAGATGTATCTTTGTGTTTAAATCTCTGTACAGTGTATATAGCTAGGTTGTTAAAATGCAGATTTTGTAGATATGGAATTGCAAATCCTGAACTGCCTTTTCTTTGTTTTATTTGACTGTTGGATGTGAATGTGGACAATAAGAGACTTTGGGATACCAATTATTTTCACATTATTCCTCCTCTGCCACTGACTGACTGAATGCCATTTCAATGTTATAGGTGAATTTTGCACAATATTAAATACAGACATTACATCCCAGCAAATGTTGTTGTTTTTTTGTTTTTTTTAAACATTTTATGGTTGTGAGGGAATCTTTTTGTACATTGCTTTCTGTAATGTTTTGATGAATTCCTAGTGTTCTAAGACATTAGGAAATGTCAAAAAGAAATTGAGGGTACAAAAGTGAGTGTTTTTTTTTTTAGCTTTTTTCTTTTTCAATTCAGTGCTGAAAATAAAAAGGTTCTTGCGCACCATGTCACCTTTCCTCAATTCTGAGATAAATCTGCCCTGAAAGATCATCACAGTTGTCTACTGGCTGTCCTGTCAAATACCTTTTGATAATACTTGAGTCTCACACTTCTGACATAATGTTGTACTTAGTAAACATTGCCTCTAAAAATCAGCATGGTAACATTATCATTGTGAACATGATACGCTGATAGAATTCACCTCAAAGCATGGCTGTCCTTAGGCATGGTAGCAGCTTATAATACAATAACTACTGTTAATTTAATAAATAACAATAATTCTTGAGTTGATAATGTAAAAACGTATGGAGGACCATACTTGCTCAAATAAATCATCAATCAATTAATATATTCATTAATGGCTCAGTGGATGAATTAATATGCCATGCTGTGGCTCAGAGGCAGAGCGGGTCATCCACTAATCGGAAGGTTGTTGGTTCGATCCCCGGCTCCTCCCGCTGCACCTGAGCAAGATAACGAACCCCAATGCTGCCCGATGCTCTTGCATCGCTGTGTATGTGATTTGGAATGCATAAGTTTCCTTTCTATGGCCTTATGCCATCACATGAGTGATTGTGTCGTGAAGTGAATGTGGCATGTAGTGTAAAAGTGCTTTGAGTAGTCGGAAGACTAGAAAAGCACTATACAAGTACAGGTCCATTTACCATTTACCATTAAACACATTCACATTTAGTACTTACGGCACCGCAGAGGTTGACACAACAGCTCCCTCTCCCCCTCTCTACTTTCACCTTTACTTTTTTTTCTTACCCTCTAATTAGCACTGTATTTATTGTTGTAAATAGGACCGACAGTGTTGGTAGTTTAGTTTTTTATTTTTCGCCTCGGTTTGGCTTATTTTTTTTTCTATAAACAATGTACAGGAATGTGGACACCACGACCACCACACAACAAAGTGCCAGGGATTACTCAAGTGAGGAGCTCCTCCAGTATCGGGATTTATGTGTTGGATGTCAGAAGGAGATCCCGGTGGAGTTAAGGAGACGAAGGCGAGGAACTAGAGCAGGCACGTTGGTGAGGAACAAGAAGACAGAGAGGCGGTGGAGATACAAGCAGTGTCTTGCCATGGGAAATGTACGCTCGCTGACAAATAAAATGGCTGAAGTCTCGGCCCTGGTCAGTGGACAACGCGAGTATCGGCAGTGCAGCATTTTATGCTTGACTGAGACTTGGCTGAATGGGAATATACCAGACTGTTCAGTGGAACTCGATCGAGCAGAGCGTTAAGAAGTCAGAAGGAGGGCTTGCTGTCTTTGTTAACTCCAAATGGTGTAAATGGCACACGCCTGTGACGTCATCAACTACGAAGCATTACTGCCATGAAAAGGTCAGTAGGTTCAGTGGAGGGGACAAAGGGACATGCCTCCCCCTCAGGTACCCCAATTCACACCTTGGCTACCCCACCCTCCTCCTTCTCCTCCACAGCCCGTCTCCCCCTTCTTTACCCAGACGACAGCAACACCACGCCCCTCATCCACCCTCTTCCCCTTCAACCCCCCTCCACTTCCTCCCTCCCCTCATCCTCTCCATTTACTCCATAGGATGGTGCGACAGAAACAACCTATAGCTCAACACAGGGAAAACCCAGGAGCTGGTGGTGGACTTTGGACTCCGGTGAGAGCGTAGAGATGGTGGACACCTACAAGTTCCTGGGGGTGACACTCAACAACAAACTGGACTGGACGGACCACACTGACAGGAAAGGACAGAGCAGGCTGTTCTTTCTGAGGAGGCTTAGGTCCTGCTACTTTGGATGTTTTAATGCTGTCTATTGAGCGGGACTTCATCCAAAAATCACCAGACTTTAATGACATGGTGATTAACCTGTTTGCATCACAGAAAGGCCGTCGATGTGAGCTGATGTGAGATGTGAGCTTATCTATCCACCAGGAGGAGTATTGGGTAATATCATTACCATTACTGGTACTTTACATTTCTATGTGTAACTTACATTGTGCTACTATATGTCTTTGGTAAAAGTGTTAAAGGTTTTTCCTTGCCGCTGTCAACAAGTGCTTGCTCACGGGGGGAATTGTTGGATATCTATTCGGCAATATAAATACATTTGAATTTAATTAACTTGAAAAACGAGCATCACCTTGTTGTTTTAACATTTGATCGATTTTGCCGGGGCTAAACAGGCTCAACAACTCATGAAACATGGCATACACGTCAGCATTTTACATTTCATATGGATGTTGCCTGTGGGTGTGTCAAAATGGCTCGATAGCACCCCCTACAAACTTTTAAAAAAACAGCCCCGGTGCCCTGTTTCTTGGACATGTATGAAAATTAGCAGGCATATGTATCATGTCAGGAGCCATATCCTAAACAAACAGGAAGTCGGCCATTTTGAATTTAATGTCAAATTCTGCCACCATTTCTAGGCCTTGTATTTTAACAAACTACTCCTAGTGAATTGATCAGAACAACTTCAAAATTAGTGAGTACAATCCAGAGAAGTTCAGAGAGGTACATTTAAATCTTTACATTTGGTCAAACAGTGTGTCTGTGGTGTGCCTTCAAAAATCAGCCTTGACATGATGATGGAAACCCTAACCCTACCCCTACAGCTAAACCTAACTGCAGTACAGATTTTCCATTTGCACCCAAACTTTACAAGTTTGTTAAGAGCCCTGGCCTTAACACATCCAAGTGCTAATTTTCATGTTGCGGTCTGCACGTTACACTTGCACGTGACGAGTTGCGAGGGCTCGATCATCACTGTTTGCAGTTTTAATTGTGTATTGCATTTGCATTGCATGCATTGAATATAATATGAA